CATACTTCCTTCTCTCTCCTAAATGTAGAACACATGAGACGATTCGTAGGTAGTTCTAGTGTTGTCCCTGGTAACCGTGCGTTAGTCTGACTTCCATTACTCTAACAAAAAGTGCACCTGCAGCCCCGCCCCTCTGCGTCTACACGGATGATGCAACCAAGTGTTCTCATGTCTTCTGAGTCTGCAACAGTTCAAAAGCACAGCGAGTCTCCTCCCCACCCCAAAGGCTTTTCTCCTCCCCCGGCCCTCCTGCCCCACGCTCATGCTTGGCTTTGTTTTTCTGTGTCGTTACTACCTGGTCACTAAACTTTGAGGCCACCCCGTTGAGTCACATATTTGTTTTTCAATAATTATGACCAAAACCTAGTATCAAATGTTAACCAAATTTGTGATTTAAATCTAAGTTGAAAAGAAAGACTCTGGGTTTTTCTTATTTGTTTTGTTCTTTCCTTTTTTAAAAAAGCCACTTCCTGGGAGAATTACTTGATCTCATTCTGAGGAAAACAAATACCAGGACAGCAAGGGTGTTGAAGGTCAGAATTAATATGCTTTTACTAATTAGTCTATCTGTAGAAGTTCGCCCTGCTTGCACCTTCACTATAACTGCTTATAATCAGCTTTCTTTTCATGAAGTGCTTAAGTGTTCCGACTCACTAAAAATAACAAAACTAATAATAAAGCATGAATATACTGTAAAGTCACAAACATAAAATATATGCTTTTAAAGAATATTGATTTGGGGGGATTGCATTTCTCTCTCCATACCTTGATAATTAATCATGTGTTGCATTGTAAAGCATTTTGCAGCTTAGGTATTTTGGGAAAGGTGAATGCTACAAGACAAAAATGAATGACAATCGTTTAGTGTCCTTGAACAGCTTTATTATGGAGAGACTGTACAGAGTTCTCATCTGCAAGATACTCAACTTCGGTAATCACATTTCTCGGGAAGACAAATAAAAAGGAATTGCATCCAAGTGCACACGTGTGCTCATCTCCCCCGTGGCTTCTACAAAGATCTCCCCACGGCAGTTCCTGATTTCCTGGTAGGGTCACCAGCGAAGGGAGCTTAAAAGGCTGCTGTGATTGGCATCTGAACACTACAATAAGCAAACCTTCCTCCAATGATCATGGACCCGTTTTCGCTAATAGGAAAAAAAGCGACAAGGAGAGAAAGGGACACCTTTGGAATGCCAATGGGAGCAGTATTTTAGTTGCTGTTTTTATCAGGTTCCTCTTGGACACAAGCACTATACAGGAAGAACTAAACATGGTAAATTGAGTGGATTAACTCTGCACTCCTAAAAAACCGTGCATGTCCTCTCTCTCTTTCTCTCTGTCTCTCTGTCTCTCTGTCTCTCTCGTTCCTTTAGAGACACAGCCATACTCTCATCCAGCTGCATAAAGCCAATGATGCCCTGTTTGGTGTTGCTACTTTCAAAGGAAAGATACTGCTTACCCCATAGCAGGAGCATAAAACTATGTCTTAGATGGACCACAGCTAATAGCTAAAGTTTAATGGGTACTAAGTAATCCATGGAGCAGGCAGAGTGGAAAGTTCATTCAGTGGGTTACATGGCTCCCAAATTCCTCACACCTTATACAGAAGTAGGGGAGTGCATACATGGTTTTAAATTTACACTATGATGTAAATGACTGATACTGTAATAGACTCAACCTGGAGATAGATTTTTGAAAGAACACTTGTATCAGAAAAAAGGCCCAGACAGGTCTACAAAAAGCTTTATCTGATTCATTATGCTGCTCAAAGTAGAAATTTACAGAATCCACCCACAATACTAATTTTAATAACAACCTTTAGACATACATTTGCATGCTTGGACTGTTCTTATGTTGTTCAAAGTAAAAATATTTAGAGAAAACGTCAAAAAGAGGAGGAGGTTACATAAAAGATTCATATATTGCAATAATGAGGTATTTTATGCTAGACTTTCAACACCTTCTTCATGAGCATGGAATGTGTTATGAATGCATTTACAAATCCCATCACCCATGTGTAGAATCTGAGTTATTTTTCATATGTAAAAATACACATTATCATATATTTGTCTTTGAGTGTTAACTGGTATTTCCAGTACTACTTCAGGAATCATTTTAGTTAATGCTTGAGATGTGAAATTAATCCTTCAAAATAAAGAACTGGATATTTGTTCCTAAAATTATTAATTTTCAATATGCAGTTCATCATGTTGGTGATTTCTAGGATTTGCTTATGAAACTTATATTGTAATGGAACCATTTTGCAGAATATTCAAGAAAGGTTAGTTGAAGCCTTAGCTTCACACAGAGTAATCTAGCTTCTAGAAATATTCTGGAATTCACCGCTATGGAAAAAAAAAATCGTAGCCCCAAATGTCTTAAGGGATACAAATAAGGAAATAATATGCAAAATAAATAAACAGTGCCATCACTACTTACCACAAGGTACCTCTAAATGAAGGGAGCGGCAAGCACACAGAGCTCAGCAGTGCTGGGTCTGCCGTATTTGGGCAACAGTCAGTTCACCTGCTGTCCATAGTTTTTCTTTTGAGTCATTCTCTCTCAGTAACTTCCAAAGAACAGTCACCAGCCCCTCCCTCCCTGGGACAGAGCTCAGGGTCTGACTGAGGAGGCTCTAACTCATGATTCAGCCCTGAAATCCAGTAGCTGTGGCATGTGGCCAAGCCACCCACTGGAGCCGCTTTTCCTCCCAGCTCTGAGGGTGAAAATGTCTGCTGGGCAGGTGGCAGAGGAGTGGAAAGAATTTGTACCCGAAGAAAGACTTCAGAGGCTAGTTAGGCACTTGGTTCTCTATTTAGGACAAAATGTATCTTTCTAGAAAGCACTTAAGTTAGTTTTAAAAACCTGTCCAAATTCATTAGTGGAGTAAATTTAGTGGTCATGATATATCTCAAGACAGTTATTTAACCTCCTCTACCCTATCAAGTAAACCAAAGAGTACACCTATACCTTAATGCAGACATGGCTGTTTTAAAAGTTAAAAGCAACCTTAAAAGTAAGGCAAGCAATCAACCAAGAGGGACTCAGCAATTTCCCAGTGTGCCTGGACACAGGAGGGCCGATCTTCCAGGAAGCCCCACTGCCCCTGGGTGTCGCTCCAGCCCAAACTGCATCTCCCTGCCTCGTCCTTCAAGCAACGCGTGCTCCAAGCACATTTTCTGTGCAACTGGAAGTTTTGTTATGACAGAAGGAGCCGGCTTCAGAGGCCGCTTGTTAGGGTCTAACCTTTTTAAACAGGAATTTGGAAAACTTCCCAGACGTTACATCTGCCCCAGCCCTTGCACCTTGGAGTATAAGGCCGGCCAGGGAGACAGCGAGCTTGAGTCAATTTATTAGTGGTGGACGGGCCACTCTGTCTTTCCCTGCAGTGACAGTAGGTGAGCCCAGCAAAAACCTGTCTGCCAGCCAGCAAAGCCCAAGCCTGCTTCCTCCCGGCAGCTGGGTCCGGTGAGCGGAAACAAATGCTATTTCCTGGAAGAAAGTACACAGACCAAATGTTGGGCCAGGCAGGTAGCGTCTGTGTCCATTTGAGAAAAAAATTTCTGTTGTCTGTACATTCTTTTCTCTCCTCTTTAAGAACATTAACAGAAATGGAGCATTTTAAGGGAATTCAATGGTTCAATTTCTAACACTCAGCGATGATTTTGACACTAGGGAAACAGGCAAGCATGCATTTATCTCAATAGACCTCAGCTAAAGTGTAATTGATTAATTACAAATATACATCAGCAGCCAGCCGCACTAAAGAGCAAGCTACTTACTATGTTAGGTAAAAATAAAACAGTGATACTTAAACTGCATTTTAGAGCTCACATCCCATCTCATCATCTTCACTTATGCAATATTTTAAAGATGAGGTGTTTGCTCCAAGTTACTTTCTTGTGGATTAAATGATTATCTTTTTGAATTTATAGAATAATATGTATCCTTTTCCTTTCCTTTGCATGTTTCACAAGGTTTGATTGGATCAGTGTCTTTGCCTTTGGTCCCCTACCTGCTCACACTCTAGGAGCATATCATAGGGAATACGCTAATGGGTCTTCCATCAGGGAAGCTCTAGCATCGGCCTTCTGCAATCTAAGCATGTATGTCATCTTATACTTGGTAGCTTTTTTTAAAGGAGAAAAATGGACTTTGTGCCATGAAGAGTTGCAGTTGTGCAGAGGCTTTCTGGAACAGTACTATAAGCAACTAAAACTCACAGAGGCCACAGGACTTGCAGAATTACCATGATACCTGGAAGGTCAGCAGGATAAAGCAAGGAGGCAGGATCATGTACATTCATGGGCCAATTTGCCCTTATTTAAAATTATGATACGAGTTTTTTCTGAATTTTTTTTCGTGGATTTCCATCTCTTTAAATATTGAATTAAAATATTACTTACAATAACCCTGAGATTTTTTATTGCCTTTAAATTTTATGTTTGAGGCAAGAGCCTTCCTTGCATAGTCCTGGCTAAGAGAAGTTTCTTTTTCCTGAAATTAGTTTTCCCCATAATGCTCTCTATAAAATACGGGATATCGCTAGTTCTTGCACTAAAACAGGAAAGAGAAAAAAAAGGAAGCAATGCATCAGATACCTGTTAGGAATGTGTAACCCAGGAGACTTGCATAGCTTTCTTGTAATTCTTAGCTTTCAAGACCTCATGCGCTGAGAAGCTGAGAAAGCATATCTCAAACTCACATGCCCACAGGACCCCATGAATATTATTCTGAGAATCATGTTCTACTACACAATGTCCGAGAGTTGTCTGTGCTTTGATTCAATGAGCCTGCCTCACCACATCCTTTCCCTTCACTTTACTCATCCCACTTTTCCCCTCCAGAAGCCCAAAAAGATGGACATATTGACACAATCAGGCTGCAGTTATATTTTTATAAATAGGCCCACGGTAATAAAAAATTTAAAAGAATATCAAAATAACAGAACACCTTGGAGCTTAGCACCTCTTAAATGAAACAGCATCAAAGACACTTACCTGTAAAGTCAGTACCAATGGGGTGAGTGGTGCTGGGAAATTTATAATACCCATTTCCTGTGAAACGAATTCCTTTCATCATGGCGGCCGTGGGAGCTGGTAGAGACATCTCTCTCCTTTCTAGTTGGTACAGAGGTGAGGGTCCATTTCTTTCTTTAGGTGGAAACCACCTCAGATGGATTGTGGTGCTGTTGAGTCCTTGAACCACGGGAGGCCTCAGGTGGGCAGGTGCTAAATGTCAGAAAACACTGGTGACATTCCAGAACCTGGCTTCTCCCGCTACATACAGTCACACAGCGCACCACACAACACAACCAAAGTCAGACCAGAGGAGGTCACGAGGATTTCTATGGCTCTCAGACTGAAACCCTAGAGTTTATCTCAAATATGAATAAACAAAATTGAAATACTTAACAACTACTTAATGCAGAACTTTCTCAATGATATTTTCTTTGAGATAATTGCTTGATTTTTCTTGCTAAATAATTGGGATGATACATTATAGTAGCCACTGTTGGTACCCCACCCAGATCTCCTCACCAAGCAGGTGTACCAAGGCCTCAGCTCTGCCCCACTGGCCTCTAACGGCTCACTAGCTGTCCCCTTCCTCGACATGGCCCCTTGGCTGAGGGAAAACTGCCTCACCAAGAGCTACAGAACCCCTGGCGAAGCCTGCCGCCAATGGTCAACACTGATTGCAAAGCATGGAGCCCCTCAGCTAAGCGTGGCATCAGCTTGCTGCCACGCTTCACAGGGGCTGAGCAGGGAACAGGAATGATTGAAATCGGCCGTTCGGGGAAACAACAGGGGGTGTAAGACCTGAGAAGCCCTAGCAGGGGTGAGTTGTCACTGATGTGCGCCAGCCAATGGGCTACTGGGAATAATGGCTCGAAGACATTTTGTGTTTAAAAAATAGTCAAAACATCTCTTTTAGAGCTTTAATTTCCTTGGAGCAGTCTTACGTTCACAGCAGACTTGGAAGGCAGGTACAGGTCTCACTGTCTGCCACATGGCCCTGCATATCGCGCTCTCTCCCGTGTCACTGTCCCTCAGCAGCAGCTTGTTACCACTCATGCACCTGCACAGACGCACCCTTACCTCCCACACTGCGCAGTGCACCCTGTGCTCGCTCCTCTGGTTGCCCCCTCTTTGGGTTTGGTCAGATGCACAGTGACATGGACCCATTTTTACCGTATCCTAAACAGCAGTTTCACAGCCCCCAAAATTCGATGCACCTGTCACTCATCTCCCATCTCTGACTCCTGGCAAACACTCACATTTTCACTGTCTCCAGAGTTTCGTGCTTTTTCTAGGATGTCAAGTAGTTGCACTCATACAGCAGGCAGCCTTTTCAGATTGGCTTTGTACACTTAGTGAAATGCATGTAAGGCTCCCTCATAGTTTCATAGCTCATTTCTTTTTAGCACCCAGTAATATTCCATTGTCTGCATGCCATGTATTTATCCACTCATCTATTGAAGAATATCTTGGCCAAGTCCAAGTTTTAGCAATTAATAAAGCTGCTGTGAACTGTCTTCACATGCACCTTTTTGTGTGGATGGAATTTTTCAACTTCCTTGGGGAAAGTCTCCACCAAGGCTGGGTCACATGGGAAGAGCTGTAAACAGCTGTGTAAGAAACTGCCCGCTGTCCTCTGTGGGGAGTGGCTGAGCTGGAGGTCGGTGAACTCCTTGGGATGAGCAAAGCCAGTCCCAGGAGTGTGGAATGCCAGAGGCAGATCATGTAAATAAGCTGACCAATAGCTCAGTAGCACACCAGCAAGTTTCTGGCCCCTCGGCATTCCTTCCTGTTCACCACACCACAAACAGCTTTGAAAAGGTTCCATGTTCCGTGTTCTCAGGGAATCACCAAGACCTTGCACTTTCAGCCCTGTCATGCACTTACCTCCTTTTTACTGTGCATAAGTAAAGATGCTGGGACCCGCCCGGCCCTGCCACCTCTCCACTAGAGGGCTGCAACCTACCCAGTCCCAGCTTTCCTTTTCCTATACATCTTGCCTTTAGTCTCCCATCACCCCCTCAGGATCCTGCCAGCTGCTCAGGACGGGGAGTCCTCCAGAGTGGCTGTCCTTTTCGCATTCCCACCAGTGATGAGAATTCCTGTTGCTCAAAATCCTCATCAGCATCTGGCATTGTCAGTGCTCATGATCTTGGCAGGTCTGAAGGATGTGCAGCAGTAACTTGTTTTTATTTGTCCTTTCCCTGTTATGCATAACATGGAGCTTATTCTCACACACTTATTTTCTGTCTCTATAGCTTCTTTGGTCAAAAAGCCATTTTCACACTTAGTTGTCTAAATTTTTTCAGGGTTAGAACCTATGCACATAGAAACAATCCATCAAAATCACCTGTAACTCAGAGATCCATGGTTTACAGTTTATGAACCCTGGTACAGTCACAGAAGACGATGGGTAGCTTCTCAGCCCTGAGGTAGCCATGAACATGGCTGACCCTGAAGTGATCAGGCCACCAGCAGTGGCCTCACACCTGGGACAACCGGTGCACTGTGCCCAAGGGTCACAGAGACTGAGCATGTTTTGAGGTCCTGGAAAAATGGGAATTCTTTGGAGTTCCTAGGAAATTCCATGGGTAGAAGAAATTAAAATCTTTATGACCTACAAGAGGGGGAGATCAGAGTAACAATAATGACAAATTGAAAATAATGGTTAATGGTGGATAATGAGGGCTACTGAAAAGGATATCTACTCTTTGGTTTTACTTTTTTTTCTTAAACATCCAAGAATACTTGAGTTTGTGGACCAAGACTCACTCCCATGTTAAGTGTGTTTGCTGGGTTAGAAAGGCGGAAATGAGGAAAGGAACAAGTCATCCTCACCAAGCATATTTACTAATGACCCAAACTAAGGGCGTATTTCACACGTGCATTTCACAGCCTGTACAGACAGAAACACTGCCTGCTGCAATAAACATAAATCAGAATGATGTGAGTACAAGAATTGAAACTCTAAAATTATGAATGGAAACTCACCATAAAACATCTTAGAAAAATAACTATTTGTTGCCTTTTAGAATTTGGCCAACTTTCCAAAGAGACACAGTTGTGGTTCTACTTGAACTTTAGTAAAAAGGAAAAGGCTCCAAGCAGAAAGTCCAGCTTACAAAGATAATTAACAATTCCTCTTATCTTCTGCCACTGAAACCCATGTGATAGTTTTATTTTTATATATGTATGAATCTACAAATTACACATGTGATTTCTTTTAGCATTGTCTGCCAACATTTGGCTAAATAATGGGTTATTAAACATTTTGGTCCTACAACTTATGATTCCATTTAAAATAATTCAAAAGGAAAATGAAAGAATTATTGATCCAGAAAGCCCTTCTCCCATGAAGCTTGTCTTCCAAGTTCAAAGGCCCATCCTCATGTTAAAGTCCCAGCAGGCCACGGTTGGCTACAAGTTTAGTGGAGGAAAGCTGCCTGAGATTCCTCACTCCTGGGCTCAGGGATGTAAGCAAAGGAATAATTACATCCTTTTCCGTTGACTAATTTATTTTAGAGGGGTGGATGTTGAGACAGGCCTTGCTATGTAGTTCAGGCTGGTCTTGAAGTCACTATGTAGCCCGGCCTGACCTCGAACTCTCAGTGATCTTCCTGCCTCAGCCTCCCAAGAGCTGGCATTACAGGCATGTGCCACCACGCTCAGGTCCCATTGTCTAATTTTTATCAGAAACGTAAAAATAGTATTTTGAACTCTTCTGTTACAGTCTCTGTATTTCACTTAAGATTCTCCAGTGTTCTGGGATATAGGTACCTGAACTTTTTATTGTAAAAAGTACCATCAAGCCCAGTGATAAGCAAGAGCTTGTTCTCCTTTCCTTGTCAAGGCTTCAGGTGTTTGACAGAACACAAACCTCTCCCTGCCATCATCGCTGAATGGGGGAAGCATAAAGTGTACCACCACAGTCTTCAGAACCCTTTCCTGCTTGACAGCCCACTCACAAGCACTTCTAAATTAAAAATACAAACTGAGAGTTAAAACTACCAAAGGAATCCTAGTAGCTCTGCAGTGATCACTGCTTAATGCTTCCTGAAAGTGAGGGCATACATTTGTTTTTATATTGGCAAAAGATTACTGCGAATAAGTGCACCCTTACCTTGAGAGTCCACAAAAAATATTGACCCTTTATCGTGGTTACTTTTTAGGTCACTGAGACACAATACCTGATATACCCACAACTTAAAAGAAGAAAGGTTTATTTTAACTCATGTTTTTAATCCATAGCCAACTGGCTTGAAGCCAGGATGGAATGGAAGAAGGGTGTGGCGGAGGACAGCGGCTCATGGCATGGTGGACAGGAAGCTAATGGAGGCCAAGGGAGGGGCTGGGAAGGGAGAGATAACCTGCCTGATCACACCCACAGTGACCTGTTTCACCAAACCAGGCCCATTCCAACAGCAAGTCATCATCCAATGTCCCTATAATCCACTCACCTTCCAAAGGTCCCACCTAAGATTGCAGGAAGCTTTAGGGGACGTGTAGATATAAGCATAACACCCTTCAGACTCTGACAAATTGTGGCACATGGCCTTTGAGTCGCAGGAGAACCATCACACCACGCCATTAGACTGTTCCTAAGAAGTCAGCTCCAGAGAATGAGTGGAAGTATAGTATATATTTCACTCTTTTGCTTAAAAAACACCTCTCCAGCTGGCGTATTGTACAGTTTCATACGGAGCAGTCGAGCAAGCTTGCATGGAAAGGCGCACAGCCTACTGAGCATTCTTTTAAGAGTTCCACTCAGATTAGAAGGATGAATTGGGTGAAGCTGTCAATCAATTAAACTAGGCGGGTCACACACTCAGAGAACCACCAAGAGAACGGAATGATGAAGGATTAATTGTTAGGTTTTCAAATCAAAGGGATTATAGATACAAATACGGTATTTAAACACTTCTGAATTACAAAATAGTAAATTAAGAGATAGCATTAAATAATGAAAAAGACCCTACAGGTTTAGAAAATATATTTCACTTTTTAATTTCAACTGCTGCACATATTTTAGAAAAATCACTTAAAATGTATATGTACCTTGGTTTTTCCCTTCTTCACTATGAGAATAAATTCTCAGTAAAATACTTTTAACAGTAAGTGCTGTAACCACAAAAATACATAATTACTTTAGGTTTTACAAAGTAAGTTTGTACAAATGAAGACACTATTGTTACAAGCCATTTATATTTTTTCAA